CATTGACTACTCCAAGGAAGAGTCTCCGGCTCCTAAATTTTAAGTTTCAGTGTTTATTAATAATCAAGTGCTGTAAAACACTAGACAGTTCTATTTAATTGATAGTTATAATGTGATATCTGATATCGTGACTTTTATTTTAATCCCCTCCCTTTCCACGCAGCCATATTGAGAATAGCAAAATGTAGAATAAAGATTTGAAAAACGCGTGTCTTATTTTTTATTTACTAATGTTCAATTTAGAATTAGTTATTTTGTATAGTTTTTGGTAAATACAATAATTATAACAATAATACATTAAAATCAATCTGAAGCAATAATTTGCTGATGTCAGACAACAAAAGAAGATTTTTGTAATTATTGTCCTTAAATCATATTTCAAAACAGTCACCATCGCCAGGATAAAAAGAACAGTAATTGAGGTTTCGTCCGGCTTCAATTTTGCGACAAGAACTCATTCCTGTTCTTGTACTTCATGTATTTTACAAATTCCAGTAGAATATTACAACATAGATTAATGCAAAATTTGGTATTTTTGACCATCAATCAGGACCAAGTGTATGATGATCATACACTTAGTCTTGATTGATACCTATGTGACGTGTTATTTGTAGTAAAAACCAAGAGACGACTTAAAAAAAATATTTCTTAAGTAATCAACACAAAAATTTAAATAGTAGGCAATTACTTTCATTCTGGTTGTAATTTATCACAAATTATTTGTGAAAATTGAGTATGAACATAGAAACTATAGGATTGAAATTGTGAATTATAGAAATCTGGTAACTAAAAACTAGGAATCTGTCCTCTGTCAATGTGACACACACATGAAACTGACATAAGATTTGTCAGGATTGTCGGTCAATGTGAAGTTGTCAAGTCCTATCCGAAAGTTGACAGTTGTGTTATATCCTATTGGATATCGTCGCACACAGAATTTAGTTTTTGTTTTTATAACATGTTATTGTATTGGCCGCTGTTTCCAAAAATAAAATAAAAATAAAGTTTGGGTTGTTATCATTAGCATGATTCCCAGCAGAACAACTGTACATTGAAACAGTGTCTTAAGTGACAAATGTGTTAAATCATGTGAGTGTTCCGAGAAGTACATTTATTTGTTTTATCACTTTTAAAATGGAAACTGGTGCAGAAAAAGACTGGAAGAATAAAATCGGTTTTACAATAAACTACAATTCGGGTGAAAGCTCCGACGATGATTAGTAAGTTTAATTTTTTATACCGATAACACTTTTTTAATACCCATATGTATTAAAACTAAGGTTACATTTTGTGACGCCTACTGGCAATAGTCAGGTAACGTGTGATTATTGTATACATAAATGTTTAAATTCATAGAACTGTATTTGCTACACAGAGCTTAGGTTCACAATTCAGTTTTGCATTGTGATATTGGTTTGCTAACTTTTTCCCACCCGTTTTAACGACAATAATTGTATCAGTGGTAGAGGCTGCTTAACCACCACTAAAACTACATAGAAGATAGACATGAACTGAAAGTTATTCCACGCTTTCTGGGAGAAGTGTGTATGCCTGATTAATTTCAGTCCTCTTCCCCTTTCCACTCATTTTATCATCAGGATCAGGAGGATCAGGAAGGAAAATGGATTTGGCAGAGAATGGGCTTCATAGGCGACTCTAGTGTGTTCTTTCTCATCTCCTTAGTTGCTTAAATATAGCTAGCACATCTGCAACTGAAGATATCTAAGAACAGTAGTATTTCACTATTTTCATGAATTTATGAAACTAAATTTCAACCCCCTATTCAGGCCTTTTAAATATAAATTAAAAAAGCCTGATACACATAATAGGCAATATGCATATGACACCAAATTTGCAGTGGCGTTTTAGTCGTACGAAAATGATCGTAATTTTATTTTATTATTTTTAGATCAATGGTTGAATTTTTTTGAGTCAATATTTTTTTCTGGTTATCTTATAACAAGTACAAATGTTTTATAAAAAAAAACAAGCATCTGAAAAATATTTTATCAAGCAACAAACCTAAAAATAACATTGCTCAATGCTTGCCTGCATACTACATAGTAATAGAAACCGCTTTTCAAATTTTCAAGTCTTTCAGTCCAGTAGTTTGGCTGTAGATTGATAGTTGTTATGATACTATACTACCACTATATATCATTCTCAATCCCATTCTTTGTCATATACAGGATAGTGGCGGTCACCTGCATTCCTTCATTCTATACTAACATAATAAAGTGTAAACACACATTACTTTGTGAGGATCTCAGCAATGACAGCAGTGACA